CAGAATCGGAGTCGTCTTCATCATTCGACCCACATTCCTCTGCCCAGGGCATAGGACTTCTTTCTAGAGGCTTCCTTTGTTTCTTCTGCACATTAGTGCTAACTTCTGGATGAGGTCCAACTGCCTCTTTCTCGACCTTTCGCCGTCTTTGGAACCTTCTCCACTACGAACGGGACATAGGATTTTTTTCCTTTGTAATTGCTTGACACATGGGTCATTTTATTCGACGCAGAAGCATGGTACTCCTTTATGTAATCTAGAGAAGAACCTCTTGGTACGTCGAATGCCTGTCATTTCTCTTCATTTGGTCTCTTTCTTCCCATGGTATTTAGCCAAGTATCTGTAGGCACATTAGTTGGAGGCCTAAAAGTTGGTGGCCTCCTTACCTGATTCATGGGTCTTTGTTGATGCCCCCTTCTGGGGTCAAATCGGATTTCTGAACCCATTCTTTGTTGGGCATTGGTGCCCTATTTTTCTTTCATAATCTGCATAGCTTGTATGTGTTCAGCGACTTTCTTATCAAAAATAGAGCTACATCTAGGGCATAGCATTACTTCCGATTTCTTCTTCTGGCACCTATGCAGAAAATCTGCCAGATCTTCATCCTCCTTTGTGAATGCAGTTTTGTTTACTTCTTCTTTTCGAATGGCTTCCTCTGAGGCTTTGGCGCCAGAGATTTCAACCATGTTAACCTGCATGTTGCTTTTGGCAACAAGGTTCATCTTCTGCATTTTGGCCTCTAAGTCCTCTGTCGAACCCTTTACAGCAGCCAAATAAGAACCTGTGGTGGTTCTCTTGCTGGAGCTTTCAGCAACTCCTTTGGTTATGTTTGAGTCTTCAGTAACTCGTTTAATCAGTTTCAGGCTTCCAGTGGCCTTCTTGTTCGACCCTTGGGCGACTTCCTTTTTCAAATCCATGCCTTTAGTGGCCTTTCTTACCCCTTCAATAGTTTTTCTGGAGATGTTTCCAGTAAAACTTCCAAAGATGGGTTTTGTGATGAAATCTTTAGAAACTTCCACCATGTGAATGCCAACTGGTTCGGCATAATGTGCCTCTGTCTGCAGTGGATTTGTGTCGATTTTCATTGCTGGTTTATCAGCAAATTTCAGCCTTCCTTCCTTTAGCGCTTGTTGAACGAGATCCCTGAAAAGGAAACATTGTGAGGTTTTATGTCCCAAAAAATTACGGTATTTACAAAAACCTCTTTTCTTTCTCTGTTCTAAAGGAGGCAATTTTGCCCCTGAGGGCACTATCATTTGGCCATCTTTAACTAATAGATAGAATATTTCGTCACATTTGGATATGTCGAAGCTATAAGTTTTCTTAGGAAATTTGTCACTGTTTTTCTCAGGTTCTACAAGATTTTTCCCATTTGATGGCACTAGCAATTTACAAGAATATGGTGGTCCTTGTTTTAATTCTGCTAAATCAATTTCGCCTTCTTCGACATCTATAGGATCACTGGATGTCTCTAGATCGTTATCATCCATTTCGACATAAGCTACCCTTTCTCGTCGATGAGTTTTGGCAACTTTAGCTTTTTCAGCTTTAAGGCGTTCTACTTGTCGAACTCTATCAGCAAGTTGGGCCATATCTCTTAGGTATTGTGTATCTAACTTTTTCCTGATCGAATAATCCAGGCCCCCCGCTGCTATCTCGACTAATTCATGCTCAGGCACTTGGGTAAAGCATCTGGCTTTGAGTAATCGAAATCTATTTAAATATTCATCAATTGGCTCTGTAAACCTTCTTTTCACACTAGCCAATTCTTTTAGACTTATCTTGGTTTGACCCATGTAAAATTGTTCATAGAACAATCTTTCCAATTGGTTCCAGTTGTGAATCGAATTGGCTGGAAGGGTAGTGAACCAAGTGAAAGCATTCTTTGTCAGGAAACTTGGGAAATATTTGATTCTAAGGTTTTCGTTGTTTGCTATTTCTCCGGCCTCTATCAAATATCTAGCCACATGTTCGACAGTCGACTCTGTCGTATCCCCTAAAAATTTAGTGAATTTTGGGACTTTTCCCCTAGGTGGTAAGTCTGTTTGCAGAATATATTCTGACAATGGGGATGCAAAGTTTGGTCTGTGAAAACCAACATTCATCCCGTTTTGAAGCATGATCCTCTCGATCATGGCGGTTAAATTATTGTTCGTCCATAGTTTTGGTGTCGAACTTGCTGTATTAATTCGTCAGTGTTTTGGTTTCTATTAGCCATAATAACGCCTTGATCGATTTCTCTAAGGTTTCGTGGTATCTCAATCCTTGGTTGTTCTATTTCTATCCTAGGAATCTGGGGGTTTGGATTAACGGTCAAATCCTCTTCCATAATTACCCTTTGATTTACTCTTATTGGTATCCTCTGGGATTGTCGAACAACTTGAAGTACCCCCAAAGAATTCAACCATGCGCGTCATTTGCGCTGTCATCTGTTGATTCGACTGTGTAGCAGTCTGAATAAGGGGATTGAGCATTGTACTTAGAGTTTGTGCTAACATTTGTACCATATCATGATTACTTTCGTCCATCTGTTGCGTCAAAATTGCTGTAGAAACATTTGTGAGGCTTGGTATCATGTGAGATGGCCCTCCCAAAAATTGGTTTCTACTAGCTCCAGACCCTTGTAATGGCGATGTTGCATTCACCAAAGGTTCTGAAAATGTGGACGCAGCATTCATAAGGCTAGCCATTTCAGTAGTTGGCATGCCATATGGCTGTTCTCGACCCATCCAGGTTGTCGCAAAGCCTGGGGGTACAGTTGATCGAGATCCTAGATTTATCCTTGGTGGAGGCATTCCTAAAGGACCTCTTGGACCTACATACGAAAGTAGGGGTCCAGTTTGATTTGTGGTTAACGCTGGCATTGATCCAACAGAAGTTGGGATATTCCCTTCGACAGCAGTTGTAACCATTGTCCTTGTGATTGGTGGAGGTATTTCTCCATGGTTTGGCTCGTTAGCCATACCGCTCTCTCTATTTTCCTTCCTAACAGTATATTTGTTGGTTACTCTACCACTTCTTAATAACATGCAATGTTATAATTGTACAGGAAAAAACACAATAACATAGAAAATTAGCAACGTCCCACCGGGTGTGCCAATTTGTTTACCGTTGTTTTTGGTAAACAATCGCTGATCTCCAAAAAGGTAAGTTCTTTTTGGTTTACTTACGGGATCGATCAAACTAATCCCATGACATATGCTAATTTTTATGTAAAATGGATAAGCAGGAAGAACGCACGTTCGACCCGAAGGAAGGATGTTTGAGATTGTTGAAAAGTAAGCAGAAGTATAGAAATGCAAGTAATAAGACATAAAAGAAAAAAAGAGATAACTTTGTAAAATAATAGTAAAGTAATGTAAAAGACTTTCATTAAGGAAAAAAGGTGTTTCCAACGTACATTTCTCAGCTTTATCCTTTCTCACGCAGCAGTTACTTGGATAATGTTTGAGTGACTTAGTACAATAGGTTGAACACCCTGAAAATTACACAAGTTTCTTAATTTATACTAAAAATAAGTAACTGTCGAGGGAACATTCTGCGCTAGGATGAAGACAAGTGTCTCCTGCATGTCCCTCGACCTATGGCTCTCAGCCACGTTGCCTCTTTTTAAACGCTGGCGAAACTGCCTTTCCCTCCAATAATTTAAAACTCAAATAGTCCTCGTATCATGTGTCAAAGCGAGGGTGCTTTCTCTCAGTCGAGTGACATAAGTCTTCCTCAGTCGAACGAACCTGAAGATGAGCCCTTGGTCGAAGATTCAAATATAACTTAGATCTTTCCCCTAAGTTATTTCATATGTCGAATCATTCTTCTTGGCTTGGTTCTTTCCAGTTTTTTGGTCTAAAAGACCAAATATAGTAAGTGTTGAATTTGGGAGCCAACAGATGTATACTGGTTTCCTTCACAGTCTGAATGTACTTCAGTCCCCTTTTAACACGAAAGAGATTTCACTATTGTTAGGACTTGTACAAGACCAACACAATCACCAAGAACAATCCTCTTGTGATCAACCAAGTTGAAATAAGAATAATCCTCTCACTTTCAACTCTCTTGCTTCCAACAATCCTAGACAACAAGGTATTTACAACCAAATCTGAAAAATATTTAAGTGAGAAAAGTGGATGAATATATATATATATATATATATATATATATATATATATATATATATATATATATATATATATATATATATATATATATATATATATATATATATATATAACTAGGATTGATCTTCTCTTCTAAACAAGCAATTCACAAAGATATATTAGTGCTCAAGTGTTTATGAATGAGGTAGGAATTTTTTCTGGACTGATATGTAAAACAAATGCAGAAAAATTCTCAATGAAAACTAAAGTTTCAAAACACTTATTTGAAAATGAGTGAGAATATGATTTCAAATTGAAAGGAAGTGGTGAGTTTTAAATCTGAAAATGAAAGTGTATATAACACTCTAACACATATCTAAAAGTGTATAAAATCATGAATGAATGCAATGATTAAGGGATGCAAAAATAAACTCATTTGGATCAAATTTGAAAAAGAGAAAATGCTATTGTTTCCGAGGTAACCGGTTACCTTGCTGAAACGTAAAAAAAAATCAAAATTTTGGCCCATGTAACCGGTTACCTCAGTGATGTAATCGGTTACATTAGTGAAGGTTTGCAAAAATACGTAAAAATGAAGTTTCTGCCAAAGTCCAGATAACTAGTTACCTTGGCCATGAAACCGGTTACCTCAAAGGAAAAATTGAAAATTTTTGTTTTCAGAGTTTTCAAACCAATGGCAAAAGGGTTAAATGTTGATTATGCATATGTATGCAAATATAAGAGATTTTGAGCACTAAAAATATATCAAATATTGAATTGTAACTTGTACAAAAAACTTGAAGATCATACAAACAAACTAATCTTCATGAAGTTGCGATCTTAAACCATAGCCATTTGATCTTTTGCTCACCCTTTCTTGATACACATGCAATTTAATTGACTTCATCAAAGCATAGAAATGGAGAAACTTAACTTCATATTCTCCCCCTTTTTGATGATGTCAACCATTTGAAAATTGAAGAGTTTGAGTGTCTTTGAAGGTATACACAAGAGAATTCTCCCCCTAAGTTTGATACTCCCCTTGAAACAATGCTCTCTCTTGATGCAGAAGTTTTGGACAGATTTAATCATATATGTTTCTGCATAAGTTAGACAAGAGGTATACACAAAGACACATGCATCTCTTCTCCCCCCTTTAACATTATCAAAAAGGACGGGGAAAAGACAAAATATAACACATATGAATGTATAAAAACAATAGCACATCATAGAGAAAATAAACAAATAAGGAACTAACATCAACATAACATGGAAACATTGTCAAAGCATTACACATACAAAACTAAGGGAAACAATGATACAACGAATTTAACAAGAGCATACTATTAATATAAAATGAAACAAACGAAAATATAATCGAAACATAAGACAATGTCAAAAGAAACAAGCAAAACATTTTAGTCATCTTCCATATCTCCCTCTTCACTCTTTTCTTGGTTATGGTTGGAAATCCTAATTTCAGAAAGAAGTTCTACACAGAGGTCTTGGATGCGGGTGTTAAATCCAGTCTTCCATGGAGCATATAGAATGGTAAAGGAATTCATTTGTATAACCACCTTCCGAAATAGGAAATGGATCCAGAGTCAGAGTTGGAGTTGGAGTTAGAGTTGGAGCCACATTAGAGAAATAATGGGCTTGTTCAATGTGCTTATAAATCCCATCAACATCTTTGAAAATACCCATGTTTTTTTCCCGCTTTAGCACTATTTTTAAACGGAAATATAATAGCAACATAAGACAATGCCAATTTCACAATGTTCCAGAATTTTTGTAATTGCCCGACCGTAGGGAAGTCCACCCCGACGCCTCTTTTGATGCAACATGTTGAACATAATCACATATGCCCAGTTCACAAGGATACAATTCGTAATAGCATAGATGAGTTGCATATCAATATCACTAATTTGAGAGTGATTGGAGTGTTTGGGCAGAAGGATGCATGCAATCAAGTAATGCAACATATGACCACTAACCGACAAAGTGGATGAGTAAACGTGAACTCGGTTTGTTGTCGATGATTTGTAAGTGAGCTCTTGCTTCGAGACAAGACTGATGTGAATTAAAAAACCCATTCATTATACTGCTTGAATTCCCCAGCACCACAAACATATTTGTGTTTGATACAATCACCTGCATAAGGAATACCCAAACAATCTCCAAATTCCTCTAATGTTAACAAAATCTCTTTGTTATTAACAAGAGAGGAGACAATACAATCATTTGAAATTTTCAGATTTACATAGAACTCTTTAACTAGGCCAGGGTACACATAACCAAAATCCTCAATGAAACCACTAATCTTTTGATGATTGAGAAATAGTTTAAAATTGAAACTAGTAGATGGGAAAAAGGTAAGATTACCATATTTAGGAGAAGTCAAAGGTTGGTTGCTGAAGTTAAATATCAATCTTCTTGACTTCAAAGACTTTTTCACAACCTCAGTGTCATAATCTGAATGAGGGTTAGAGGAACCTTCAACCATTTTTTCCTTTCATGTGTTTCTTCTTGGAGGAGCCATGGATAAAGCTTGAGATTTTTGAGAAACTTAGGGTTTGAAGAGATGATTTTCAGAATAGCTTATTTTGAGATGCACTTTTTCGGATTGGCTTATGGAGGAAATACGGGGTTGTGAAAAGTGAGAGGTATTTAGAGAAGGTTTTTATGAGTGGAGGTTTAATGAGATTTTGTTGGTATTTGGTGTAATATGAGTGGGTAGTAAAAGATGAGGTTAATGAGTTGATGGTACCAAGTAAGAGTAGGTGGAAGAGTGATTAAAGTTTTGACCAAACAAAATAATAACAAATTAAAAGCAAAAACAGAAGAAAAATAAAATTATGGTTCAACGATGTAACTGGTTACCTGAAGGATGTAATCGGTTACATCCATGCACAGAAGACAAAAAACATACACTTTCACAAATGAAATTATGAAAAAGTTCAAAAATTGAAGTATGATAGCATTATCTTGTTTGACGAAAACTCGTATTGATCTTTTAAAAAGAATTCAGAATAAGACTTTGAAAGATTCTCATAGGTCATGTTCATCCAATATGCCTTGCTCTCTGCAGATCTTAAAGAAAGGTTCTTTTGCAAGTGGTTTTTTGAAAATATACTCTAATTGATTATTTGTATCAACGAACAAAACTTCAACTTCACCTTTAAGAACGTGATCCCAGAGAAAATGATGTCGAATAACTATGTGTTTTTTCTTGAGTGCATGACAGGACTTTTGGTTATGTTAATGGCACTTGTGTTGTCACATTTTAACGGAATGCGTCCAAGATTTAAGTCATAGTCGCTAAGTTATATGTTTTAACCATAAAATTTGAGCGCAATAACTTCCTGCTGCAATATATTCTGCTTCATTCATGCTAAGAGCGACGCATGCTTGTTTCTTACAAGACCATGATACTAATGCATTTCCTAGAAGATGAAATGTACCACTGGTTCTTTTCAGGTCAGATTTACAACCTTCATAATTTGAGTCAGAATAACCAAGTAAATCACATACACTAACTTTTGGATACCATAGAATGACATTTGTTATTCCTTTAAGGTACTTCATGATTTGCTTCACCGAGGCAAGATGGGATTCTTTTGTATTTTCTTGAAAACGAGCACAGAGACAAATACTAAACATAATGTCAGGACGACTTGTTATAAAATATAACAATGAACCAATCATACCTCAACATTTTGTAATATCAATTGAAACACCAGATTCATCTTGATCTACATATGTTTCGGATCCTATAGGAGTAGCCATTGTTTTGCAATTGTCCATATCAAATATTTTCAATAATTCTTTGAAATAATTGGATTGATTGATGACTATACCATTCTTTAGTTGCTTAATTTGTAGTCCAAGAAAATAGTTTATTTTACCCAACATAGACATCTCAAATTCTCCTTACATCATTAATGAAAATTCTTCATATAGGTCCTTATTTGTTGAACTGAATATAATGTCGTCAACGTAAACTTAAACCAATAAAGTATACCTTTTATTTTCTTAATAAATAAGGTTTTATCAACTTTATCTTTTTCAAATACTTTTTTGCATAGAAAGTTGCTAAGTTTATCATACCATTCTCTTGGTGCTTGCTTTAAGCCATAAAGAGCTTTCTTAGACTTAAAGACATGTGAAGGATTATTGAAATCTTCAAAACTGGGAGTTCGTTTAACATAGACTTCCTCATTGATATATCCATTCAAGAAAGCGCTCTTGATGTCTCTTTAGAAACGCTGAGAATTTAGTGAACAAGCATAAGCAAGTAATAAACGAATAGCTTCACCCTTGCAACTAGAGTGAATGTTTCTTCAAAGTCAATTCCTTCTTCTTGATTATAACCTTGAGTCACAAATCTTGATTTGTTTCGAACAATTATACCATTATCGTCAAGTTTTTTTAAACACCCATTTGGTACCTATGATGTGTTTATCAATTGGCCTAGGAATAAGTTCCCAAACTTGATTTCTTTCGAATTGATTTAATTCATCTTGCATGGCAATAATTCATTGATCATCTCTTAAGGCATCATAAATCTTGTAGAGTTCTACTTGGGAAACAAATGCCATGTTCAAGCAAGCATCCTTGAGATTTAGTCTTGTTGAAACTCCTTTGCTTATCTCACCAATTACTTTGTCAATTGGATGATCATGATGGATTCTCCATTCTTGGGGAAGATCACTTTAATTTTTATCTTGTTGTGAAACTTCTTCTTTTTGGTGTTCCAGTTGACTCACACTTTGATCATTAGTAACTTCTTCCAAGAGTAATTCTATAATATCAGCATAATCATCACAAACAATTATGTCCTCCTTAGAGGTGTTAGTTTCATCAAAATAAACATGCATAGATTATTCAATAGTTAAAGTTATTTTATTATAAATTTTATAAGCTTTACTAGAGAGGGAATAACCAAGAAATATACCTTCGTAGGATTTCTCGTCAAACTTAGCGAGATTGTATTTGTCATTGTTGAGGACAAAGAACTTGCATCCAAAGATATGAAAGTGAGCAATGTTTGGCTTTCTTCCTTTGAAGAGTTCGCATGGAGTCTTTTTCAATATATGTCTAATAATAACTCAATTTCAAGCATAACATGTCGTACTAACGCATCCGCCCAAAAGTACTTTGGAAGGTTTGAGTCGTTAAGTATTGTTCTTGCAAGTTCCACTAGAAATCGATTCTTTATTTCAACTACTCCATTTTGTTGTGGAGTCCTTGGTGCTGAAAAATTATGAGAGATACCATGTTCTTCAAAAAAAATCTTCAAAAGATGCATTTTAGAATTCTCCATCATGGTCACTTCTAATTGATTTAATCTTCAATGTCTTTTCATTTTGAATTTTCTTTGCATACTTCTTAAAAGCGTTGAAAGCATCACTTTTCTGCACAAAGAACAAAGTCCAAGAATATCTAGAAAAATCATAAATAATAACTAAGGCATATACATAACCTCTTAAGCTTCTTGCTCTTGATAGACCAAATAAGTCCATATGCAACAATTGAAGTGGCATTGTTGTTGATATCACATTCTTCGGCTTGCAAGTTAATTTGATTTGTTTTCCCTTTTGACAAGCATCACATAATTTATCTTTGGTAAACTTTATCTTTGATAAGCCAATGACAAGATCACCTTTGACAAATGTTCCAAATAAATATGGACTTCCCTTTTATGCCAAAGCCATAATTCATTATTGTTTACCATAAGACATTTTACTTTCAAATATAAATCATCTAAAGATATCATAAAAATATTTTTAATTCTTTTACCATTGAGTTTTAACTCATTGGTGGCCTCATCATCAATCAAGCATTCATCTTTGGTGAACGTAATTTTTAAGCCTTTGTCACATAGTTGGCTTATGCTTAGAAGATTATGCTTTAGTCCTTCAACATAAAGTACATCTTCAATGTATGTGAAAGGTGGTGCTCCAATTTTTCCAATGCCAAGAATTTTCCCTTATTGTTGTATCCATAAGTGACAAAACCCTTGGCCTTAAGCACTAGATTTGAAAATTTGCTTATATCTCTTGTCATATGCTAAGAACAACCACTATCGATATACCATAGATTTGTAATGGTCTTCAAGCATGCCTACAAAATAAATTGGTTTGGTTAGGTACCCAATATGCTTTGGGTCCTTCATAATTAGTTCCTTTATGAACCCACACATAATGCCAACTTTCTACACTAAAGTTTCTTACATAGCAAGCATTAGGTGTATGGTCACTTATACTACAATAAAAACATGTAGGAACAAAATTACTTCTATATCTAGGAACATAAGATTTCTTTTTAAGAAATCTCTTCTTAGGATGATGATGAACCTTTTGTGTTCTATTTACTTTTTCCTTGTTGGATTGGTCACTTGCTTTAAAAAATATAGTTTTACTAGTACTTGATTTGTTAGATTTAGAATAACCAAGACCACTTTTATCACTTGAGCACCTTTGTTGATTAAAGATATTGTCTAATTCAACTTGTCCTTTTTCATATCTTTCAAGAACTCTTTTTAATTGAACAATTTGGAAATAAAGTTATTCACACTCTTTGCATGTAAGATTTATTTTTTCCTTTTCAAGAAAACTTTGTTTTTCAATTTCAAAATCATTTTCCTCGGTGTCAATCTTTTCTTCAAGAGACACAATTTGTTTCTTTTGAGTTGACACTGTTTTATAAAATCTTACATTCATTAAGAAGTTCATCAATAACATCTTGAAGATTATTATCAAAAAGAGAAAATTTATTACTAACCTCTTCATACTCATCATTGGAATGGTGTGATACCATCAATGTAAGATTTACACATTCTTCGCTTTCTAAATCAGATGATGAACTTACTTCATTATCATCTCATACAATATAGGCTCTTTTAGACTTTGACTCCTTTCTTTCCTTGAAACTAATTTTTTTCTTCAAGATTTGGACATTCCGGCTTTATATGTCCTTGTTTCCATATTCATAGAAAGTTAAATTTTGTGTTGATGTAGAGGCTTCTTTCTTGTTAAAGAATTTCTTCTTTTTCATAAAGTTAGTGTTTTTATTATCACCAAAAACTTTACCTATCCTTTTTACAAGAAGGATGAAGTTCTCATCATCTTCTGGATTATCTCCCTTTTCAATTTCTTTGGATTCAACTTTTAATGAAATACTTTTGAATTTCTTCTCTTGATTCTCATGCTTTTCTATTCTTCCAAGTTTCGTCTCAAATTCTTGAAGTTTTCCAAATAACGTTACGAAAGTCATTATGGATAAACTTTTCTTTTCGGATATTGTCGTCACTTTTGGTTGACATTCGCTGGTTAAGGATCTAAGCACTTTAAGATTAAGTTCATAATTAATAAGAGTCTTACCAAGTGCCTTTAAATGGTTTGTCAAATGCACAAATCTTTTTTGCAAGTTAAGGATTGATTCTCTGGGCTGAATTCTAAATAACTCGTACTCTTGACTTAACGTGTTCAATCTAGATCTTTT